GGGGGGGAGGTCTTCTTAGATGAGGCCCAGAAGCAAAACCCATGAAGGAAGAAGGGAATACCTTTGGCTACATCAGAATAAAACCTTTCGGGGGTGCCTGGGTGGCCCAGTCAGTTAAGCGTCCGACTCTTGATTTCGGCTCAGGTCATGATCTCAGGGTCGTGAGATCGAGCCCCGAGTTGCGCTCAGTGCTTGAGATTCTCTCTCCCTCTCCCTCTGCCCCTCCCCCCAAAAAATAAAATAATCTTTTTTTAAAAAAAGAATAAAACCTTTTGTAGACAGAAGACGTCAAGACAGAACAGAGCGCTGGGAGACGGCGGGGGAAGGGAACAGAGGAGCCGGGAAGGCCAGAGGACCCAGGACAGCATGGGAGACAGAGGACGGGGCGGGCTCGAGGGAGGGAAGGCTCCCCGGGGGCGCGTGTCTGTGGGCAGGGGCAGAGGGATGTGGTCGCGGGCCGGGGTGGGGGGGTGGCCCCGAGGAGCGAGGAGCAGCCTCACCTCTCTCTAAGGGCGGGGTTGCGAAGGTCCGAGATGAGGGGCATGGTCCTCTTGAACTGCTCTATTTTGGAGCGAGTGGTTTCGATAATTTCCCAGTTGCGGTCCTGGGCAGACATGGGAGGCATCGGCAGGCCTGGCCAGCATCCCCGCGCCGTGGCCCTTCCTCAGTGGCTCGCCCTCTGCCCCCCACCGCCCCCCACGCACCTTGTACTCTTTGGCCAGCCTGGTGAGACGGCGAAAGAGCCCTTGTGCCATCGTTTCCATGGCCTCCGTCTGCAGCGTCAGGAACCGGCCCGTCTTCCACTGGTTCCAGTTCTCCTCCCAGTCCCGTGTGATCTCCCACACCTGCTGCAGTGCGTCCAGCTCCTGCACGGCCAGGAGTGGGAAGAAGCGGTAAGGGAGGGCACTCGGGCCCTCCTCCTCCTCCACACACAGCGGACGGAGACCCCGCGCTTGCACTCCTCCGGCCGCCTCCCGGGAGCTGGCGGCGGGACTCAAGCAAATGCAGGGACACACACGTTTGTAGCAGCCAGATCTGCTCGAAGGCAGGAAGCAGGCCGGATGTCCACACAGCGGAGGATCACTCAGCACCTACCGCGCTACAACGTGCGTGAACCTTGAAAACGTTACGCTGAGCGAACTCAGCCAGACACGAAGGCCATTTGTGCCAAATGTACGGGACGGAAGATCCACGAGTGGTCGACGGGGGCTGAGGGGAGAGGGTGTAGGTTTCCTTCTGGGGTGATGAAAGCGTTTCGGAGCCAGAGGTGATGACTTCACAACATTGTGAATGTACGAAATGCCACTGAATCGTTTGCTTTAAAATGGTTATTTTGTTGGGGCGCCTGGGTGGCTCAGTCATTAAGCGTCTGCCTTCAGCTCAGGTCATGATCCCGGGGTCCTGGGATCGAGCCCCGCATCGGGCTCCCTGC